ACGACCTAATATTTTGTAGGTAATTATCTCTTCAGGGTTGTGCAGAACTGAGTAATTGCTTGTACACCATTGATGTATAATATACACATATGTGTGTGTCTATTATATTATATAAGAGGTATAGTTTCAAAACTATTATATCAATTACAGTAACTGTCAATAGGCGATCAAAATCAGCACTATAAAACAGTAATGAACATAATATAAATTCAAAACTCTATTTGAAGAAACAAAAAACCTTCGCACTTTCCGGTCATTATCCAAGAGTCATAACAGAGATTGCCTGTGGTAATAGCACCCAAAAGTGTTGGGGATATCCCATCTATCAGACAAAATCCAAAAGGCAGGTAAGAAACCAGTCAGCAGTCGTGGGTACAGAGTTCGTTGCTTACACCCACAACGTCTCAACTCTTACTGCCTTTTGCTGTCTGCAGCCAGTTGTGAGAAGGCAGCTACCCTTAAAAACAGAGTGAGAGTGATGCTAATACTATCATAATGAATTAACGATTTGATGTAACACATTATAAAATCTGCTCAAGAGGTTTAGATATTTTTATAATAAATGATTAAGGTAGTCGTTTAAAGCTTTTAGCAATATTTTGAAATAGAATACACTGTTTATATAATCTCTGCATTATATGTGTATTAGCTATTTAAATAATTTGGTAAGGGGCTTAGACAACATGAAAACTAACCAAAAATTGTGTGAGTTTTCAGTGTTATTGGTGTGAAATAGTTTAGTTGTATTAAACTAAAATTTGATTCGTGATATACACTGAGTGGTCACAAGTAAATAGACACCTAATTTTTCGTCATTTAATTGATTTATGCTAACTACTTTGTGTTCACAAAGCACTATATAATTGAAAATGGTCCACACACTAATTATCTTGTGCTACAACATGCCTAGAACTCGAGGTTCTCTCGAATTGTCAGATTTTGTTAGAGGAAGGATAGTTGGTTAAGTAGATGGTGGAATAAGTCAGCGGCAAATTTCCCAGAATTTGGGAATCCCGCTTTCGACAGTCAACAGAATGCTCGTGCAGTTCAGGAAACACGGCAAGGAAACAACTGAGCAGCATCTGGGTCATCCTTTTCCATCGGAGAGGACAAAAAGGGCTGTCAAGAGGAGCATCGAAATGGATCCCAGATTAATGACTGCAGAAGTGGCCAAAGTTGGTGGGATGAGCCCAAAATCTGTTCAACGGATTCTCCACAAATTGGGTTATCGTTGCAGAGCAGCTAGACGGAAGCCCTTATTAAGACCTGCCAACATAGTCAGACGAAAGAAGTGGGCAAATGATATGATGACCAAGCCTTTGGACTTTTGGAAGACCGTATTGTTCTCAGACGAATCGAGATTCGCTCAATTTTCGGACAAAGGAAGGATATGGATCTGGAGAATGCCTTACCAAGAGTTTTGGCTCAACAGATTGCAGCCAACTGTGAAGCATGGTGGTTTCAGCGTGATGGTTTGGGGAGCTGTTTGGGTTGGTGGGAGATCGAGCTTAGTGGAGTGTGTTGGCAACATAACTTTTGCGAAATACGTCGAAATATTAGAGGAAGTACTCTTGCCACTTTATTCCTCGGGGTTCGTGGACAAGAACACA